CTCTCACAGGTGTTGGCAGAGAAGCGGCTGTCTTGTTTTTATTGAGAAATGGCAGAGATCCAGGCTGGGGAGTGGTGGAGCCAGGCTACGGATTAAACCTTGTTCTGTGTGGGATTTAATCTCAACATCAGGGTCACAAAAGCTGGAACCTCTGCAAACTCTTCCCTGAATCATCTGCTAATCAGTGGAAAGTCAGAGGGTGCGGGGAGCAAGGGCAGGAGGAGGCCGGGGCTCCCCGTGGGAGGTGTGTGTGGGCACCGGGTGCGGGGAAGGTAGCACGGAAGTGCACTGGGAAGCAGTGGCAGGGTTCAAATCTCACCTCTGCTCTCTCCTCACTGGGCAATCTGGGCAAGTCACTGGCTTCTCCGGGCCTCAGCTTCCGCTCCTGTAACTCGGCACAGTACTGAGGACCCTGTTCCCACCTGGGAGCAAGTGACCCTCTCAGAGGGTGTCTCCCTGACAATACAATCAGGATCCTGCTGTACACCCTCCACCAAAAGAAATTCCAGCCCACCCCTCGAATCCCAACAGAAAAGTCCTGCCAGCTAGCCCCCAAAACACTCACTTCCTGGTCTCTGCTCTCAGCGTCTCCCCTCTCTCCTGAACACCCACCTCCCTGCCTGCCCTCATCCGCTTCCTTGCTTGCATTTCTCTTCCCTTCCATGTCCTGTTTTGAATGTTAATTTATTTATTGATTCATGGACTTGAAAGGCAGGGCAACAGAGAGGGAGAGATATAGACAGAGACATCCTCCATCTGCTGGGTCACTCCCAGATGGCCCCAACAGCCAGGGTTGGGCCAGGCTGAAGCCAGGAGCCAGGAATTCCTTCGGGGTCTCCCATGTGGGTGGCAGGGGCCCAAGTACTTGAGCCATCCTCTGTTGCCTCCCAGGAAGCTGGACTGGCAGCAGAGGCAGGACTTGATCCCAGGTACTCCAACAAGGAATGTGGGAGGTCCAAGGGTTGGCTTAACCCCCTGCACCCCAAGGCCTGCCCCTCCCTTCCCTTTCTTGGTTAGCGCCCACTTCTCTTTTAAGGCTTAGCTCTGGTCTCACCTACAACTCCTTCTCCAGGCCACTCCTCTGGACTCTGGTAACATTCTGTGCCTAAAGCCATTGTCATCCTCAGGGCAGGAATCCGGGTGAGGTTTATTGAGCACTCACTAAGGGCCTGCCCCTCCACCGTGCCCAGCACTGTCCCGTTGAGTTGTAGCCGTACCCACGTGAGAGAAGCGCCATCCTTGTCCCCTTTCTCTTCATCAGGACGCTGAGCCCGAGGGGTGGAGGGCACGTTTCGGCTTGGGCTGTGAACCCAGGGCAGTGCGCTCCCAAGCCTGTTGTGCCTTTCCCTTCAGACTGTGCCTGCCTCGCATTCTCAGGATTGGGCATGGTAGCTGTGCATCTAGGGAGTTGTATTTGACCCGCCCCCGGGCTATGAAAACCAGAACCGAAGCTCTCCTGTGCCTTTGTCCCTTGCCTAGCGGCGATCCCAGGAGGGCTAAGTCAGAATCTCCCAAGTCCAGGCCCCTGCCACTCAGGTTCCCTTCCCAGCCCCCGCAGTACAGGGAAAGCCCTGAGGTCCAGGGCCCCGCCCACCCAATTTCACCCTAAAGCTGCCTTGGGTCAGGTTTGATTTCACATCTACACCTGCCAAGGGTCAGCTTGGATCCAGGTAGGTAGTCTCTGCTTAGAGACTATGGTCACATGTGCCGCTGTGCCAAGCCCCGGGCCAGCCTTCCTCAGACTCCAGCTCACTGAATCCTTGTGGCAGAGAGATGACAGTATGACTTCCATCTGCTGATAAGAGGAACTGAGGGTCCACCGGACAGCGCAGAACAAGTGGGCGGAGCTAGAAGAGGGTGGTCCTCAAAGCCCTTCAGCTTCCCCACTGCCCCCCTTCAGCTCTGGACAGGGCTCTGGGAGTGCAAATCCCCCGAGGACAAGAACTGTGATTCACCCTCGAATCTGCCCCGGGTACACCCGCAGCCACCAGGAAGCCGGTTGTGAAAGTCTGGGCTGGGCACGCTCTGCTCTCAGGTTCCCAATAACTGTTTATTGGCAGGGGCCAAGCAGGGCAGAGATCATCATCCCCGCTTTATGAATGAGGAAGTCGCAATCAGAGAGGAATAGCGAAGTTGCCTAAGGTCAACCCGAGTCAGAGGAAGAACAAAGACTTGAACTCAGGACCCCATATTCAGGATACTGGAGACGGAGTGCCGAGGAAGAGAAAGGAGGCTGCAGCGATAGGGCTGCTGGACAGGCAGCTTTCCAGGCATCAAGAAGCCCCCCGCCATGTGTTAGCATCCATCTCTGCCCTGATGACCCCAGAGCAGGCCTTGCCTCCTGCAGGGAAGCTGGGCCCCAGGCAGCCTGGACAGTGTGACAGGTGACTGGTTTATGGCAAGCCAGCTCTGGGGTTGTGGCCGGGAGATAAGCCTGGGAATGCTGAGACCAGAAGTGGGAGGGATAGGACAACCCAACCTGTGTGACCCTTACACCAGAGATAGCAGAGCCATCCCCCTGCCCCCCAGGACCCCTGGGCAGCCTCCTTGGTGCCTCCATGCATCCCAGCCTCCGCCCACATATGTCAGAGGGGACACCCGCAGGGCCCACTCCTCCTTCCTTATCTCCCCCCACACACCAGGATCCTCCTCCACTCTCCTACCCCCTCCCCCCATTTCTGATCACTCCCCTTTCTGGTCAGGGGCTGGCTTGGGGTCAGAGATTGGCATCCCCCCACCCCATCCCCCAGGCCTAAAAGAGCCATTTTTACAACCATGGGAACAAAAACACTGCCCAGGAAAATCTCCCTAGAAAGGGGTGGGAAACAGTGGAGAAGCTCTTCCCACTCCATCATGGTCTCAGGCCAGCTGGAGGTTAAAATCTAAGGCAGGGCTGGCACCGCGGCTCACTAGGCTAATCCTCCGCCTAGCGGCGCCGGCACACCGGGTTCTAGTCCCGGTCGGGGCGCCGGAGTCTGTCCCGGTTGCCCCTCTTCCAGGCCAGCCCTCTGCTGTGGCCAGGGAGTGCAGTGGAGGATGGCCCAGGTGCTTGGGCCCTGCACCCCATGGGAGACCAGGAAAAGCACCTGGCTCCTGGCTCCTGCCATCGGATCAGCGCGGTGCGCCGGCCGCAGCGCGCGCAGCCGCGGCAGCCATTGGAGGGTGAACCAAGGGCAAAAGGAACACCTTTCTCTCTGTCTCTCTCTCTCACTGTCCACTCTGCCTGTAAAAAAAAAAAAAAAAAAAAAAAAAAAAAAAAAAAAAAAAAATCTAAGGCAGTGTAGACAGTGGGTTAAATTCCAAAGCAGTGTAGATAGTGGGCCCAAGGCTGATGTGCACCCCCCGACACACACAACCTGCCTTTATAGGATCAAAGCTGCTCGCAGAGGCTGTGTGATCCGCGGCCAGAAGCTGGGAGCAGACCACCAGTCTGACCGAGGAGGAAGCCCCTTGGCCTGGGTGGTTCTGGGGGAGGCCATCCCCTTCAGAGGTCCCTCACCCAGGTTCAAAGGCCGGTAGGAGCCGAGAGGTTGGCAGCGGATGGGGAAGTGGCTGAACCAGAAAACCGGGGCTTCCTGTTGAGGGTGGGGGTCCCGGTCCTTGGCTTGGATCCTCCTCTCTCCCCCACCCCAGTCTGGGCTTCCCAAATTCCTGGGAAGGTCCCCTCCTCCATGCGGGACACACAGAACCTGCAGAAGAAGGGGACCCCAGGCAAGAGAGGAGACAAGAAAGGCAGCTTCCCTTATGCCATCGGCCAGTGTTCCCAAACGCTGGGACTTTTCCTTTCCCCCGACGCCTCTGCAGACCCTTTGCAGGTGGGAGAACTGAGTGTCTATTCAGATCCCGGGCGCTTCTCAGCTCTCCGGTCCAGGGAGGCCTCGGGAGGACCCAGCCCCTGGCCTCCGACCCCTCGGTTCCTCCCCCACTGAGCCCTCTGGCAGTCTGCGTCAGGGTCGCTCCCTCGGCACTTCCCAGACACAACCGCTCTGGGCAGTTTTGTTCCGTGTTGAAAGAGGGTCTTTGGTCATTTTGGAAATTAGCTTTGGAGCAGCCTGGGAGGAAACAGCAGGGAAAAAAAAAAAAAAGATGAGCCCCAGGGAACGGGCGATCGTGGCCAGAGTTCTCCCCGGGGCCGCCGACGCGACACTCAGCAGCGCGCACGCCCCCACGCCCTCCTCCACAGCACCAAACCCGCGCGGTTGCAAGGACCCATTTCAAGATCCTTGCGCAGTGGCTGGCGCCAAAATGATGATGGAAACCAGGAATCTGGGGCACTCGCCCCCGTGGAAGTAAAGTGCTTTGTGCTGCCACTGCCTTGGTCCCCAACCAGCAGCCAGGGCGCGAAAGGCACTCTTTAGGGCAGAGGGGATGCGGACGGAGTGAGGGGGCCTCACGCCCCAAGCCAAGGGGGGCAGGGCGGGGCGGGGGATGGGGGAGAGCGATGATTTCAGATCGGGGACTGGACGCGGGGAGGGAGAGGAGGCCCCGCCAGGGGGAGGAGCCGCCTCCCGCGACCGCTGTCGGGGCTCGCTCCCGTCGCGGCTCCGCTATAAAACCCCGGCCAGCATGCTCGCCGCAGCCCCCGCGGCTTCCTTGGCGCGCGACCCCCGCTTGGACGCCTTCTTCGCTCCGGAACACCATGCAGCTACTGTTTGCACTCCTGGCCCTCGGCGCGCTCCGGCCCCTGGCCGGCGAAGGTGAGCGCCTGGGTTTCCGCCCCAGGTGCACCTCGGAGGCGCCCTCTACGCCCCCGGCCTCGCGCCCCTGCTGAGGCTCGGCTGCGGGCGGTTGCGCGCGGTACGGAGGTGACAGGGGCGCGGGGGGCGGGCGGCCGGGCCCGGGGACGCGCGAGCTCCGGGGCGCACACGCGCTGTAGCCGGCGGGTGCGGGCCAGGGTGTGTGCGCCGCCGCACGGTGTGCTCGTGGCCCGCGGCCGGGGGCGTGAGTCGGTGGCAGGGCTGGGCCTCTGACCCGCCTCGGCGCACGCCTCTTTTTCTCACCCTGCTGCGGCTCCGTCCGTCTGCGGGTGGCCGTCGGTCCCGCCGCGGCTCAGTGCTGCGTGCTGCCCCCGGCCCAGAACAAGGGCAGTAGTGGGGTGCGGTAGGGTCCTGGCCCTCTCCAGGTGTTTGCAGGCTCCCCTCGCCGTCCCAGCCCCCCGCGCTGGATTAGGAGCCTGGCGGGGGGCACTGGAGACCCGAGGTCCCGGCTGAGCCGGTCTTTCCGGACGGGGTGATTTTCGTTTAAAGATTAATGGTGAGGCCGAGCTCTTAATTATTCGACTAGGTGGGAGGTGGCAGGAGAGACGTGTTAATATTTGATAAGGAGCTGAAGGCGCTCACGGAGGCCGGGCCCCATCTCCACCGCCCCGCGGCGCTTCCAGGAGGGCCCCATCTGCCTGCCGGTCTCCAGCCCAGCTGTCCTCCTTGGCTTTGGGGTCTCCCCACCCCGGCTAGACCTCCCCTTCAAAGTTAGGTGCTCTGTCCTTGCAGGCGGCGGTGAGGGCTGAGGGTGCCCGAGGCTACAGGAGGGACTTAGCTGGGCTCGGAGCTTCCCAAGGAAGGAGGACCGAGAAAAGGCAGAATTTCTGTAAAAAACAAAAAACGCACAGGGACATTTAAAACCTAAGTATCTGGGAACACCTGTGCTGTATAGCCACCAGGCAGGCTGAGCCACTAATCTGTTTTCTTATCTACAAAAAGGAATAGTGATTGCAGGTGTTGGGTTAGAGATTGGAATGAGATAAAGACTGTCAGTGCTCCCAAGGTGCCTACCTGTGCGGCTCAGCCCGGTGCTGGGGACCAGATGGTCAGGAATTCAGCTGGACTGGCTGCCTCACACAAGCTGGGCTTTCCTTGGTGCCAGGATTTTCTGACCAGGACCCGCCTTGCTCATCCCCAGAGGGACCAGGTTGCATAAAGAAGCCCAGACCCCCCAGCATCTACTCCCACCGAGAGAGGGAGAGGGGAGGGGATCTGGCCCCTCCGGAGCCCCAGACCCCTGGCCAGGACGCACAGAGACTTTGCCCAGCACACACTGGGTTTTGCTGAGCTGGCTTTCAGGATCCCCCTTCCCTCCAGGCGGGCGGGGTGAGCAAGGTCCATGGGGGGAGAGAGCTGCTTCTGCCATCTCTAAAGAAAGGGGGGGGGGCGGTGAGGTTGCAGTGGGGACAGTGGCTGGGTGACTGGCAGTGGATTTTAGGGTTCTTTGGAGCTTGAAGCTAAGATACATGGGTAGCCCCTCTCCCTCTGCAGCCTTCTTGGCCGTGGCTGGAGACAGTGGGCCAAGACAGGGGATCCCGGGCACCAATGAGTACAGGGGTGGAGCTGGTAGGGGCCCCTGCCGGTTCCTGACTGCCAGCCAGCACTCCACCCTCACAACACGGACACAGACCTCAGCCCTGGCCTTGGCCTCATCATCGCTGTGTTCTCCTGACTCCTGAAGGGGTAGTTACAAGCGCATTCAGCCAAGCAGGTCAAAAATCTCCGTGATTAAGACTGTGGATCAGAGGTCACCACTACAGACCCAGGAGCTGCAGCGAGAGCCAGGGACAGGGTGAATTCCTGAGAAACGCTCACCCTGGACCAGATGGGCCCCGGGGAGCTGCTCCGAGAGCTGGCTCCCGCAGCTCTGCAGCTCCGGCTTGAGCAGGGGAGTTCAGGGAGAGCTTCCCCCCACTCGCCCCAGGAGGAGGGGGGCTCCAGGCCAAAGGAGGGGCCTGCTAGACCACAGAGACCTTGCTGAGGGAAGGGGCCCTGGGCCACCACAGCAGGGATGCTCTCCCCAGCCAGTGACCTCTGATCCCGGTGGGCGGCAGCACCTTCTGCCTGAAGGGGAATGCAGGGCAGAGCCAGAGCCCGCAGCCAGGTGGACAGAGCGCTGCCCCCTGCAGGAAGGGGTCGCAGCGGGCCTCGGGGAGGGGTTTCCAGAGACAGCAGAGCGCTGTGCAGGCCAGGAGATGAACCATCCTGAAATAGGCTACACAGCAGGGGAGGCACAGCATGGATCCCCGCTGGGGGCGGGGCTTGCTCTCCAGGCCCAGAGCCCTCCCCCAGGGCACTAGCAGGGGCTCCACCTTCTCAGGGCTCTCTCCCCAACCTGTCCCCGTTCCAGCACCCCCTCCCCTGGCCCAGACCCCAGAGATGGGCTGGGCAGCACACAGGCAAGGAGGGGGCCGTGCTTAGGCGTGGCGGTCTTGGCTGCGGCTGCGCTTGGGAGTGGGAATTTTCTTAGGAAATTTCCTCATCCCTGAGTTCTTTCCAGCTCATTTCATGCTGCTCCTCTCTGCCCCTGCTTGGCCGGGGCCATCTGCTCCCCGACAGGAGGCCGCCAGAGGGAGGGAGGCAGCGGGACGGAAGGCTGCATCCCAGGGAACTTTCTGAGCCCCAGCCTCCCGGAACACCCTCTGCCACCCCTCGTTTACTCCTCCTCACAGCCCCGTGAGGTGGGTGCGTGTAGACCCCATTTTAGAGATGATGAAACCGAGGCCCAGGGAGATTGGGGGACGTGTCTGCTTCCTAAGTGGCTCAGCAGAATTTTAGCCCCAGATAAAATGCTTTATTCACCCTGCTGGCGCAACCACTTAGTCTTTGTTGTTAAGGTAGTTGTTTTTTTAATTAACAGACTATTTTTGGAGCAGTTTTGAGTTTACAGGAAAGGGGAGCAGGAAGCACAGGGGTCCCCTGCGGCCCTCTGCCCTGCACGGTTTCCCTTCGAGTGCCTGGCACTGGTGGGGAACATTTGTGGTGCGGCCTTTTTCCCCAGATGCCCGGTTCTGCCATCCCAAGGCAGAGGATGGAGTTTAGCCAAGAATGGGACTTCCCATGGTGGGGGCTGGCACTTGGGGGAAGGGCAGCCTCATCTCCTCTGCCCTCTCCCATCAGCCCTTGGAAGGCTGGGAAGGCAGCCAGGCTGACCCTGGCTCCCAGGTCCAGGGATAATCCTCCTCCTCCCCTCTCCAGGTTTGGGGTGGGGATTGGAGGGAGGAGGGGGAGGCAGGTGACCAAGGGATGGAGAATGTCCAGGCCAGCTGCACAGTTGGAGCTATTGGGCCCAGGGGGGTCTAGGGGGTTGGCCGAGGGGGGACAGCCCTAGGTTTTCTTATTCAGTCCCCTTTGCCTGGGTTCTCACCCCACCCCAGGGGCTCTGACCCTAAGAGTGTCCCCGTGGGTGCAGGTGCATGTGCGCATGCACACACACAGAGTTCCCACGTGCACAGCTCATCGGGCGCTTAGACAGTCTGTGCTCACAGCGCCTCTGACCAGCACCCCCCAGGCTCACACCCTTCTCCTGTCTGCCGTAGAGTTACACTGGTGCTACGAGATTCAAGCGTCTAACTACTCCTGCCTGGGTGAGTACAGCCAGTCTGCGGGTGGGCCCTCCTGCGTGGTGGGGAACCCCTCAGGGGGTGGGAGGCAGCCCCTCAACACCCACACAAACTCCTAATGCTCAGGGAACACAAGCTGACCGAAGTCCTCGAAGTCCAGCAGGTCAGCACTGAAAGGGAGATGCGTTTGACTTCCTTTAAAAAAAAGTGCATTCATTTGAAAGGCAGAGAGAGGAGAGAAGGTCTCTGCTCACGAAGTGGAGAGTTGGGTTTACCCCAGTGCCTCCCCCTGCAGAGGGGAGTGGTCCCTTGCAGTTTTATCCAGATGCAGCCCTTTCTTCCTGGCCCTGCTGTGTGTCAGTAGCTTATTGGCCTGCCCCATCCCCTGCCCAGCTGAGCTCTGAGGGTGAGGAACCAGGCCTCCTCCCCTCCCCCCATTCCTCAGATAATGCTTGGTGTCTCTGGAGCAGCCCTTGGGGGGCAGGGCGGTCCCATGCCACAGCTCTCAAACCCACTCCTATTCAGCTCCTTTGAATTTCAGAATGTCCCACTTCTCAGTTGACAAAACCAGGGCTCAGAGAGCTGGTGTCCCTACCCAGAGCTCACAGCCACCCGCTGGCCACCTCCTTCCCGCCCTCTCCCCACCCCTCTCACCCCCCCCCCCACCTCCGCCACAACTGCCACTGGAGGACAAGGAGGCAGGCCAGGGGCCGGTGAGGGCCGGCTTGTGAGCGGAGTGTCCCAGCAATGTGGCCTCCCAACCATCCCCAGACCTTGCATCCAGCGAGCTGGGTACCTGACTCCCAGCACCCGCTGTGCTCAGGGCCAGACAAGTGGCAGGAGGACTGCCAGAAAAGCCGCCAGTCCCCCATCAACATCGTCACCACCAAGGCAGAGGTGGACCACAGCCTGGGACGCTTCCACTTCTCCGGCTACGACCAGAGGGAAGCACGACTCGTGGAGAACAACGGGCACTCAGGTGGGCCTCGGGTGGCCTTAGTAGAGGACCTGGGCAGGACCAGGAGGCAGGGGCTCCCTCTACTAGAGGGGCTGCAAACCTCATGGTAGGGGAGGGGCGGGGAAGCACAGGCTCCAGCGAGGAGGGAACACTTGAGGTGCGACCGGTGAGGGCGGTGTTCCAGGAAGAAGGCTCGACCTCTGCAAAGGCACAGAGGCGTGAAGCAGCCTGCCAGGGACCTGCCAGGAGGAGTAGTTCCATGTGGATGGAGGGCGGAGAGAAGAGCTGGGAGGGGCTGGAGCGAGGCCCAGGGACAGGTCACCGTCACCGAGGAGTCTGGCCATGACCCTGGGGACAGCAAGGCACTGCCAAGGGGCTATAGCAGAAGAGGGACCAGCGCAGTTGCCACCTGGGGGCTGTGGGCGTTGTACAGGAGAAAGGGAAGCACTGAGGAGGCTCAGCCGTACTGCCCCATCCCATCCCTGGGGGCCCAGGACTGGAGCCTCTAGGGGCGGGAGCAGGGGGGAGGGGCTGGGGAGGCTGGTGCAAGGGTCTCTGGTCCTGTGCCCCCAGTGATGGTGTCGCTGGGGGATGAGATCTCCATCAGTGGAGGAGGACTGCCTGCCCGGTACCGAGCCACGCAGCTGCACCTGCACTGGTCCCAGGAGCTGGACAGGGGCTCGGAGCACAGCCTTGACGGGGAGCGCTCTGCCATGGAGGTGAGGGTCCCCTTCCCGACTATGGCCTTGGCTGGGCTCGGGCTCTACCTGCCTTGGGCAAGAAGGGTGGCCTGGATGCTCACAGGTCCTCTCTCTCCCTCATGCCCCCACCAGATGCACATAGTCCACCAGAAGGAGACGGGGACCTCAGGGAACGAGGTCCAGGACTCTGACGACTCGATAGCAGTGCTGGCCTTCCTGGTGGAGGTGGGCTTCCCAC